AATGTTCTCACCAATCAAGCAGACAAAGAGAAAAAACGTTTTGAAGCTGAAAGGATCCATGTGAACGAGTCAATGTTCCAACAGAGGCAGAGAAGAAAAGACGAGGAAGGAGAACCTGATTCACCGGGACACACCCAGTAACACACACACCCAGTAACACACACACCCAGTAACACACTATACATTCTCTCACACACACACCCAGTTAACACACACATTACACAATACATACAACCAGTAACACACTATACATTGACACACACACACAGATGACTATTTAACATCACATTGTTATACACGGTATTATATGGTTATATTTGTTATTATTTTGTTATATATGATTTTATATCTTATATTGGTCTCATGTTTTTCTTACGTTGATTCTTTCAAATAAAAACTGAGACGCTGCTGCCATCATGTGGACAAGTCAGGGAGTGGTTTCACTCACTTTAGTAAAATTTGTAAATATGTCACTTTTCCTCATTAAATCAACTTAATTGAACTTTTGACTTTAAATCAACAGTTTGATTAAAATCACTCCTGACGGAACCTTTGATGAGCAGCCACTGTTTCCTGTCGGTCTCTTTCACTGTGGGACTTATTTACACTCTGGATGGAAACATGTCCGGGGACCAGATCACCTTCACACCGACCCACTGCTCTCCGCCCCGGGATCCCGGAGCCGCGGGGCTGTCGGAGATGGAGACTCTGCGGATGTTCGTGAACCAGCGGCTCACGGCGGCGGTGGAAGACATCCTGGCGGTGTTCGGTAGAACCGTTTCCCGCTACCGGGAGCAGCTCGACCGCCAGTAGCAGCAGCTGGACGGACTGAAGTCCGAAGAGGGCGCATGGATCCGGGCAGCAGGTAAGGACTTAACCCGGGTCAAAGAACCGACCGTTATTATTCTTATTGTTACTGGTATATTTCGTGCTGGTTTAGATCAGCTAATGCTGCTACCATGGTAACTGACCATGGACCTAATTCAGTGATCGATGTATTGATCCACAGCACGTGCACTGAGAGTGAACACCTGAGAAGTTTCAATGTCAGAAATCTGCTGACGTCACTTCCTGGTTCCATGATGAATCCTCTGATTGATTGATTCTTCTGCTCCTTAGACCCTCAGTGCGCCCCCTCCTGGATCAAAGTGTGTCCTGAGCTGGAACAGATGGTTCAGGCTGACAGTGCTGAGGTTCTGGGTCCCGGGACTTCAGCCCCCAGGACCTCTGGCCCTCTCATTAAATGTGAAGCTGATGACGGAGGAAGTGGTGACGGAGCCGCGGCCTCAGACTCTGACACAGATGACAGCGGAGACCACTCGAGACCAGAGGACACAACAGGTCAAAGGTCACCACAGCAGCAGGACGAAGCTTCACTCCCACCGCTGTTCAGCTGTAAAGTTTGCGGGGAGGCGTTCGAGAGGAGGGGTTACGTGGACACGCACACTGTGGCCCACCCTAGAGATTGCGGCTTGTGTGGGAAACATCTGGAGCGCCCAGAGAACCTGAAGCCCCACCTGCGGGCCCACAGAGACACATCATTTCGCTGCAATGTCTGCAGACAAACCTTCACGCAGCGTGGGAACCTCAGGACGCACATGAGGATCCACTCTGGCGAGAGGCCGTTCGGTTGCACTGTCTGCGGGAATAGCTTTGGTAGGAGGACGGCGCTAGTGCGCCACATCCGCAGCCACACAGGCGAGAAGCCATTCAGCTGCTCGTACTGCGACCGCAGCTTTGTGGAGAAGGGAAACCTGACAGTACACCTGCGGACGCACATCGGGGAGCGGCCGCACTGGTGCTCTGTCTGCGGCCGACGCTTCAGTCAGCTATCCTGCTTCCAGAAACACCCGTGTCAGAGGAGAGGCCTCAGCCCTACATAAACCGTGATATGTGACAGGTGTCCTAACTCTGAACATGGAGGAGCTGACCAAAGCAAACATGGAGAAAAGGATTGAAGACTTACAATGCACAAAAATAATGTTAGAAATTTAATTTGAAGAGTCAACATTGTGTCTATTTAAAGGTACAGTGTGTAGAATTTAGTCATATCTAGTGTTGAAATTGCATGTTGCAGCTGAACACCCCTCACCTCACCCTCTCCTTGCAAACATGAAAAAGAACTGTGGTAGTAGGTAGTGTGTAAGATTTAGGTGAAAGGGATCTATTGGAAGAAATTTAATGTAGAATAATCCTCATGTTTTCACGGGTTTGTTTCATCTAAATTGTACGAATTGAAGTTTTCTTTACCCCAGAAAATACCCTTTATATTTAAATACTTTATATTTACATGGAGGGGGGGGTCCTCTCTATGGAGGCAGCCATGTTTTTTACATTAGTCCAGACTGGACAAACTAAACACCTTTTGAGTTTTTATGAAAACTGAGGCTGCCACAGGTTTTTTTTCATGTTTGTAAGGGGGCGGTACACACTGTACCTTTAACAATGAAGAAAAATATGAAAACTCTCTGAATAAAAGTCTGTCACTGATGCAGCTTAACATTTCTTATCAATGACACATTCACATGAAAACAGCTCTTAACATTTATAGAAGAGTCAAGCACATGTTGATGTAGCAGCTCCGCTTCTCCAGCAGGAGGCAGTGACGTGTCCCAGCTGCACACTGAGCATGCGTAGGGACATGAACCCGGAAGTGTGAGACGTAAACATGTCGAAGATCCAGATGTTGCAGCTGCTCATCACGCAGCGACTCAGCGCGGCCGCGGAGGAAATCTTCGGTGTGTTTGGGAGAACCATCGCCGAGTACGAGGAGGAGATCTCCCGCTCCAAGCTGGAGATCGACCGTCAGAGGAGGCTGCTGGATCTCAGCAGGAAGCCGCGGGTGTCGGTGCAGCTCAGCGGCGGAGGTGAGCGGATGTTTCCCTCCAGACGCTCCGGTTCCGTCGGTCCTTGCCCGGCTCTGAGCACCGGGTCCCGGAGTCTCCGTTGCTCGGTGCTCAGACTCCGGGACGATATTTATCGTGGGGGACATCAATGACTTGTTTTTACTAGTTTGGTGTTGAAAACTGACTGTAAATCCACCTCCTTCTCCTCAGCTCTTTGTGAGCAGCAGGACTGGAGCTTCAGTGTCGACCTGAACGAGATGAAGTCTCCTCAAATCAAAGAGGAGGACGAGGAGTCGTGGTCGACTCAACAGGAGGAGACGCAGCAGACGATGGAGCAGAATGACGCGAAGTTGTTCCAGAGCGACGGAACCGAGGAGGAGGTCAGCAGCCGCACGACTCCGTCAATGGTCGGGAGACTGGAGGAGGAGGACCCTCGGCCGGGGACGTCAGTCGAGGACGAAGATCTGAGCTCGGTTCAGCCGGACCTGGACGCTCCGCTGTCCGAGGTCGTGGACTCGTACATCTGCACCATTTGTGGCCGTGCGTTCGCTCAGCGCGGTCACTGGGCTAAACACGTGCAGGTGCACCGCAAAGTGCAGAGCAAAGTGGACAAGTCGTACACGTGTGACATTTGCGGGAAGAGGCTCACGCGGTTCGACGGTTACCAGAAGCACCTGAGGATCCACACGGGCGAGAAGCCGTACTGCTGCGACGAGTGTGGCCGCAGGTTCAGCGACAACTCCAACTACAAACGACACATCCGCACACACGCGGGAGCGAAGACTCAGCAGAGCTGAGGCTTCGACCGTGACAAACTTTTTCATCACGTGACATGAGAAGTTCCAGAAAATGTCTCCTCCGACTTTTGAGTTTCACTCAGGATCTGTTAGTGGTTAGAAAATATATCGTGACTATTATGTCATTTCAGACGACCACAGTGATCCGATGACTCATATATTTATTAAACATCAGTACACTGTAAAAACATTTTTTACAGTGTACTGTGTTATATCCTGCTTTTCAAAATAAAAGCCTTTTATTGAAACTTGGACCTGAAAACTTAACATCTCATTGTTTCTGCTCTCTAACATTTTGAAAGATGTTTGACATTTAAATAAATCAAAGTTTTCATATGAATGAATGTGGACCAAGAGACATTCGTATTTTTATATCTGAACTATTTAAACATGAGCACAGACTCATCAGTGTTTGTTTATTGAAGCCTGTGATCAATAAAGATTTTCTCTTTCTTTTTTGTTCTCTGAGTCACATTTATGTTTTTTAACTTCAACAGTCACAGCAGTCTTTTTAGTGAACTATGTTCCCTCTAGAACACGGAGAACATCTGCAGCAAATCTAGAGGTTCCAACAACAGCCCAAAGAAAATCTCCGATGCAGCTTTTTAAACTACAAGTTGTGGAACAGACCAGAAATCAAAATAGTTTGTTCAGTAAGTATCTTTAAAAGAAAACTTCAAACATTTCTCTTCACTTGAGACTTTAACTAAATCTAACACTCATGTGCCCCGAGATTTTTATCATGTACTTTTTTAAATGTAATTTTAAATGGTCTTATTTTGAGTGACATGGTTTTGTTATATTTATGAAAATAGACTCAGCGAATCGAAGACTCTCCCTCACGGCCCTCCAGAGGTCCCAACATCTCCTGCAGCTAAGAACCAGGACCCCTCAGACCCTCAGCATCTTCTGGATATGAATGAGAAGATGGTTGTTAATAAGCTGTTTCCTATTTGTTACTTCAGAATAAGAGTCCTCAGATATAAGTATTGTTCCACTGTGGCCTTTATTTACACCTTCATACACATTGATTAACAGCAGTAAAGTGAAATGATCACATTGTCATTCTGGTCATCAGAAAAAAACGGAGAGAAACATCTCCTGAATAACCAGTGAAGAGTTGTCACGCGATCGACCAGCAGATTCAATTCTGCTCCATGTTTATCAAATATTCAGACGTTTGAATGACCACAAACACAAACGTCAGTTTTATCTAAATTATCCGAGAATTCATGATTATTTTCAAATTTAATCATGAAAGCCGCTCAGATGAAAAGTTAATTATGTTTTAAAAATCAGTTCACTTAACTACAACCTGATGGAGTCAAATCTGATTTTCTCTTCTCATGTGAACAGTCATCACTGATTTCATATTAAATGTATTAAACACGTTAAACTATGGTTGTGTTGACTGCGTAATATGATGTTTATTGCTTATTTTAAACATGACGAAAAAAAGACAATAAAACTTTATTAACTTACTCAACTTCATTCTGTGAAAACGAATGAACTTCGGTCGTTTGTCTCTGGACTTCAGGACGTCAGGTTGTTGGACAACAGGACGTGTCTTTAAAAACCAGGAGAGAGAAAATGCTTTGAAGAAAAGATCAAACTTTACAAAAGTTTCTTTTCCCAACTCAATTTGTCGAAGATGACAAAAAATCTGCTCTGAGGTTAAAGAGACTACTTAAAGAAAATGTATTGACTTTTATAAATGTAAGAAACTATTAATTAACAAGTATCAATTAAAGTTATTTAATTAAAATTAATTGAATGAATGAAGAACTTTTGATGTCATGAAGAACGTTTGATCTCACTTCTCTCCACATGTCGTTGATATGTTGATTCATTAAAATCTTTCAAACTTCACAAACGATGGTGTTGCTCGTTTGTTTCCGATTTTTCTTTGAATAAAAATTGTTTGATTGACGTCCCGTAGGAACGTCCTTGTGGATTCGGGTCACGTTCGGCTGCCGCAGTCCGACTCTTTGACTTCTGTCAAACCGCAGCGAGCGCAGACGTTAGATCAGCTCTCTCTCGTTCTGTCGAGGCTGAATCATTAATGTCCTTGGAATGTAACCTGTCAATGTTTATCGATGCTCAGCGTCGTTATGTTCACGACTCTGTGAGCGGATCCAGTGGTTGTGACGCACTGAGGCAGTGATGGCAATGGCGCCCTTGTCTCAGTGGCAGGAAAATCACCACAACAAGAGTCACAATAAGGGACAACAGGAAGCTCTGATGAGTCCTCTGTGTCTTTCGTCCCATCTTGTTTTGTCATGTGGCAGCTGCCCTGCAGGCATATCAGGGGGTGTTTCACTCAATGAGGATGGCAGCAAACATCATGGCACCACCTCCTCTCACAGATTCAGTAGTTGTATTTTCCCACCTCTGTTGCCGCTGTGTCTGGCAGGAACAAGGGTTTTGGCGGGACTTGAGGTTTGAGCGAAGCCGTTCTCCTGACGACCGCCGCCCGCTGCACGTGTGGCCCTTCGGTGTAACTGTGCTGCCGTGTCAGGCAGGTGCTGGCGACTGAAGGCCGCTGGCTCCCACAGTGGTTTCTGGCTGGGGGGCCATTGCTGCTGCTGTTGGTGTTCATCCTGGCTAGAAAGTGAGCATGCTGTGCCCCCCGCTGGTTGAAGCTGTGGTGACGGGGGAAGGCACCTCCCCCGCTGCCCATTTTGATTAGCGAGTGGCGTTGGGAGTGGTGGCGTGCCACAGAGACACTGCTAAGTCGCTCTGGAATCCCCTGTGGCTGGTCTGTAGTGGATGAGGAGGAAGAGGAGGCAGAAGGAATGGATGTGGAGGAAGTTGGATTGTTGGAGGATGAAGAGGAGGAAGAAGAGGAGGTGGCGAAGGAGACGGCAGAGTTTTGAGAGGTTGCGTCCAGACGTTTGGGAAGGGCATCCCTCGGCAGCATAGAGGTGCTGTTGTACAATGCAGATTCAGTCTCTTGAATCTGCTGCTGGTGGTGACGACAACCTCCACAGCTGCTGTTGTTGTTGTGGTGGTGGTTGCTATGGTGATGGCTGTGGTTGTAGTTGTGGGTGTCCGTCTGGGGACCCTGATCATGGTGGTGATGATGATGCCCCCCAGAGGACAATGGCCCTGGAAACAGCGAGGACGAGGAGGTGGAGGTGAGGACCTTGATGCCACCTGTGCCTGACTCGCTGACCTCGTGGATGTGTTTGAGCACTTCGTTGAGCGCCGACACGTCCACCACCGTCTGCGGGAGAGACAGCTGCGAATGGTGATGATGGGGGACTCTGCCTCCCACTCCTCCCCCACCTCCTCCTCCTCCTCCTCCCACTTTTCGCTCCTCATTCGAGAAATCTCTCTCCTCAGGGAGGTGCAGCGATGTCAAAGAAGCGCACGCTCCGTGGGCTGCTCCATTGCTCAAACTGTTGCCATGGTAATGTGAGTGGGGAAACACCTGCGGTGTGAAACAGTTTCCAAGGACAGCCATAAAACCCAAACTGGATCCAGACTCTGGGTTGTTGGCCACAGTTTTGTTGCAGTATTGGTTCTCCTCATACTGATGCTGCGGCAGCGCGTTCATGTTCTTCATGGGCAGCTTGGGGGTGGAGTCTGGCGTGGGCAGACCGGACAGCTCACCATCTCCCTGCGACAGAGACTGAAGAGAAGTTATACCCAGAGGTTAGAAATCAAATTAAAAACTAAAGGTGACAGCATCAATTCATTTAAATATTGTTCGACAAATGTTCACATATGTTTACCTGTTGAACATCAACATGTTTGTAAAGCCTGGTCACATGACTGAAGACTCCTAGCAGTTGACTCTTTGCTTTATGCTAAGCTAAGCTAATCACATCTGTACATGAGACTAATATTTATCTTCCTCTTCTTGATGTTGAAGATGATTCAGTTTCTCCAGCTATGTTATTTAAACAGAATGATGAGGGTTTTATTAACGCTGTCGTCACCTGTCTCACCTGCGACAGGCTGAGCTCGGGGTCTCCCAGCGACAGGCCCTGTTGTCCGGGGCTGTGCAGGTGAGGTTCGGAACGTCCGTTAGGGATGAAGGAACTGTACATCTTTGGAATTGACGTGTCCAGTTTGTCTTCCTGTGGGACCACAGAACAAAACAAGACGAATGAGAGCAGGTGAAACCAGGTAACGTTCATCTTGCCCTGGTCAACTCACTCACCTTCGGTGCTCCCTCCAGCAGACCGCTTAGCTTGGCGAGAGATCGCAGCGACAGAGTGTGAGGCAGTGACACCTCAGGGTCTTTTCCTAGCTGCCGCACTCGGCGAGCGGTGATGCCGCTGCAGTAACACGACATCATTAAGCCTGACAAAATGGCGCCCAGGAAGAAAGCCACCAACGCGCAAGCGACCAGGAGTGTATAGTGGACATTAGCTGCAGCCCGTTGGTCCATGTCTGGAAGACGATGAACACCTGGAGAGACAGAATGAGTAAAATAAATCAAATAAAATCTGTTTCTATTTTCATCTGTTTTCTGTTGATTTCTAAGACAAATTGATATTTTAGAATCAAACTGTGAACGATAATAAATATAAAATATGTCAACTCTTCACCAAAGAAATGTGTGTGTGTCTGTGTGTAAATGAGATATTGTAGGTCCATCATCTTCATTTATTTATTCGGGAGTTGTCCAAAAATGACATTAGATAATAATGGAACCCTCTGGTGTCATCATGATCGTCTTCTTCTTCTGTATCAGCAATAAAACCACTTTTAATTGGTCGTTATCAAGGTCGTTACTCAGCAGCAGAATTAACTTTTCTTCCTGTAATGATTTGTAACATAAAGGTCCCAGAAGAATCCTCATCATTTACACTGACAGAAGTTGCTTGTTGTATGACACATAGCCGGCTCGTAGCAGCATGACGACTTATTTATGTCATGACACTATGTTGACAACATGAAGGGGGCGCCCTCTGTGGGTTTGTTTAGTACACAGAACTCAATCTCCCATGATTCTCTGTGGCTGAAATCAATTGAGACCGGAGGAATTTCTCACCGAAGGCAGAATCAACTCCAGACTCTTGGTTTCGTGTCATAACAAAAACGTCACCTGCAAAAAATAGAAAAAATACAGGAAATATGTCATTGATCATATGTGTAGTTAACGGTCTGTTTCGTACGTGTAGTTAACTGTCTGTATCGTACGTGTAGTTAACTGTCTGTATC